CTACCCCACGTTCCAAGTGCACAACCTAGCATCCACCATTTAACTATACATAGAAGCTAAAGCAGGAACTTCTCTTGTTGTGAACCATGCAGTGGAGGCTTCCCAGCAAGAGCTTCAATATCAGAGTTGAAGGTGTGCATCAAGGTCCTGCCTCTTGCCAATGCCTTTAGAATCATAGAACGGTTTGGGTTGGAAGGAACCTTAAAGCTCATCCAGTTCCAATCCCACTGCCATGAGCAGGGACACCTTCCAATAGACCAGGTTGCTCAAAGCCCCATCCAACCTGGCCTTGAACACTGCCAGGGATGGGGCAGCCACTGCTTCTCTGGGCAACCTGTGCCAGTGCCTCACCAACCTCATAGGAAAGAAGGCACCCCAGTGGGTCACGAGCCCGGTGTCCTGACCCTGTAGCAGAAAATGAACTAGAAACCCAAACCTTGTTAAGGCTGTGAGCTCTGTCTGAGCCCCCTAGTGTAGGCACCATTCCTGTAGACTGCAACAGAAGCAGCTCCTCTGCCCTGGCTCCCACAGCATCATGGATGAATCACATCCTCAATTTGTTTCTCTGTTTGCCTGGAGTCTCAGGCAGCTGCCTTAGATGCAGACATCAGCTCTGCAGATGTCCACACTCAGACATTTGGATTCCCTGCTCTGGGTCAGCTGCTGGTGAGAAGTAAAGCCCAGTCCCTTCCCACCCCTCCAGCATGCCTAGAGCTGCCTGAAGGAGATCACTGAAGCTTTCCTCCAGAAATGGGGGAACCAGGCACAGATCTGTGCTAAGTTCCCACAGCCTCTTTTCCCTCATCTCTTCTGCTTCCTGTGCCACAGTGGGACAAGCAGAGACCACAGTGCTCTAGTTCATTCCTGGCTGGAAGGCAGCCTTCAGAGGTGGAGTCAGTATACACTTTAGAGAAGTCAAAAAGCCTTTTAAATTATGCCAATTTAGCACTCAGTAATTTTAAGATTGGTGGAGGAGATGAGGGAGATAGATAGCATTTAGCCGCTCTCCTCACTGGATTTCCCAGATCCTCAGGTTGTTCATGAGTCCCAGATGAATGCTAAGCCTCAGATTTTCACTCAGAAATATTAGCATATTTTTAATACAAGCATTTTTCATGCAACTTGTTCAACATTTCACTTGTAAAATCAAGTTCAGGTCATCTGCTGCATCCTGATGCATGGACATAGTTCAGCACTTTGATTGCTGTGAGGTACCATGTCAACAGCTGTGGGGCTGGTCACTTCTAATCCCTTTACATGCGACCCCCTTTGAATCCATGCCCGGTAAGAATGTGTTTCTCATATTCTATTGCCTTGGCCTCCAAACATTTACGTGAACAGACAGCTACAGCTGGGAATTTTGTCTGCACAGATTCTGAGCAGCTGCTTGTGGTCGCACCCAGCCCAGCTCATGGAAGTGCTGTGTTCTGCGCTGGTGGGAAGCTCATCAGGAATAGCAGCAATCCTCCAGGTGTCATCCAACAGCAACAGGAGCAGGGCACAGCCCTGGCCAGGCACGGCAAGGTCAGCAGAGGGCCAGCTGATGAGTTACACAGGCCAAATGTGGAGCTCTCTGAAAGACATCAATGAAAAATGCGGGCTTTTTATAACACTAATGGAAGATGACCCTAGCTGAGGAGTGGCTGACTACATGGGGAGCACACCCAGGCTGCACCTCTGTTATGTGTATGTCAGGCCCAGGGGAGCATCACTGGGATGTGCTCATAATAACTAGATATGTTCATGGCATTTCTAGATGTTCATTGAGCATAAATGATGGCATCAATATAAAAAGTTTGTATCACTTGGAACTGGAGGATCCCAGAACGCTTTGCAAATATAAGCGGTGTCCTTCCAAGGATGTAGTTTATGATTGGCTTAATCCCAGTGGTTGAGCTGCCAATAAAAGGAGCGGTCCTGCTCTTTCACCATCCCAACCCTGCAGTCTTCTCGTCACTCCTCATCAGCTTTGTTGAGCAACACTGGAAATTCTGTGGCAGGGCTTTGCTGATCTGGGTGGAGATGAGGTTTAGTTCAGGTTTGGGCGTTTTTGATTGGGCTGATTTTTAAGCCTGAGCACTGACCTGATCTGGTATACTGGGCACAAGAACTGACCCAAGGGGTACATGAAAAGAGAACTGCCTCGTCTATGCAGATGAGGCCAAGAAGCAAACAAGATCTCACTGATATGAACGCTTCAACCTGGCACAGTTACATTTTCCATGCACTGCCTTGCACTGTGTGTCAGTGTGCTGATGGTGTTGCTGCAGTGGAGGTTCATGACTGGGTAGAAGACTTTCCCTTAGAGACTTTCCCATCTTCTAGGCTAGCCTTAGCCTGGAGTTCATATTTCTCTGTAGACATGTAAAATCTGAATTGCTCTGAAGGAGATGAGAAAACAACCAAGATTTCTGCAGAAATTATCTCAGACACACCAAGATGTTTTTCCCTCTGTCCAAAAACCAGTAGAAAAAATTCAAAACCTCGCTGGTGTTTAATCAGCAGGGTGCACTAACACACATCTCTGGAGTGAGCCACTGTTCAGAGGCTGTCCTTATCATGCTAAAAATCAACAATGGTTTTCTCTCCTATCCCATCTGCCCAATGGGTCCACAAGGAGACATGCACCCAGGATCAAAATCTTGTGTGGCAAGGGGCATGGTGATTTGAACTTGTTTTCTCATCAGTTATGCATTATCCTGATATTCCATGTGTCTTCACCAAAGTAATATTCTCTCAAAACAAACAAAAAAAATAAATTAATTTAGTTAAAAAATTTAATTTTTTTTATTTTCAACTGTGATACCAAACAATGCTGTGAAAAACAAATCAAAAAACCCACTTCAAAATAATAATAATGTTTCATTCTGAAATTATGCTGAAACCAAACACATCTATGTGATGGGAGCCTTCTCTTTTGAAGTAAAAATTCGGGCTAATTCAGCACAGCTTTATAAGGACTTTCATTGCGTGGGACTCTTTTTCTAATGCAAAGTAATTTCTCCACGAGTTACACCCCAAAACTTGGGGATGTGGGAAATCCAGATCAGCTGTTACTGTGCCTACTTGGGTTCTTCACCAATTGAGACTAATGAAGCCTTTGCTGTGGACTGGGGATTTCTTACAGATGGGGCAGCAAGGTGTTGTTTCTGGTGAGATTAGGAAATCTCCTATTTCCTTTCTATTGCTGACACCCCAGATAATATAAATGTGCAGAATATGCTCTATTAAAAGCTTTCAATCTCAGCCAAGGCTTTGCATTCCAGCTGTTGGGTTTTCACTCGTTTACCTTGAAGCCTGGCTTCAGGGATGTGATGGAAGAGATAATTGGAGTGGCTGCCAGTAAGCAACAAAATGTTTCAATAAAAAGTATTTTATTCTGCTAAGGATACTTATGTGAACAAATGGCACCCTTGGGTACAAACCAGAAATAATTCTAAATATTCCTCGCCCTCCCTCTCTCTCCACATACCCCAGGTTTCATAACACAGACAGCTCTGCATGCAGTAGATTTCATAACACACACAGACCGCTCTGCATGCAGATTCCTATCCCTGTTTCAACACATCAATGCAATGAGCCCCAGGAGTTTTCAGGGCCAGGTTTACTGAGCTGTTAAAAAGCTGTGGATCGGGGGAGTTCAATACCTGGAGATGAGCAAGGACCTGGTGTGTCCCTCTGCCACCAGGCACCTGCCTCCTGTTCTTGCCTTCCCTGGGCATCACCACTGCTGCAGACCTGGTCTGGGGAAAGGCTGAGCCCTGGGACTGCCCCATCTAGCCAGAAACCAGCCTCCAGCCCTTGCCCACTCCCTGGAGCTAGAGGGCTTACTGCTGTGATTTGTCCAGTGCAGAGACAAGAATAAACCCAGAAACTCAAACAGGACCTCAAATTTTGAACTCCGTTTCCCTCCCCGCAGCAACCCAAATCTGCCTTTTACAAGAAACAAAAGATATTCAGGTTGTCCAGGCCCAATATTTGAAAACTCGTTCATGACCAAGTAACCTCCTTACTTATTTTTGCCACCCCTCTAAACAAAGCCTCCTGGAGGAAGCAATGTTTTTATGTATGGGGCCTGCCATGTCTTCTGCTTCAAAAAGTCAGGAACTGCAACAGCAGTCACCAAGTCGAAGGCAAAATAAGTCAAGGCTATGAATGGCTCATATTAAATTTCTGATGCTTAGCCTTGCCTCCCTGTGCACCCTCAGCAGCTAGGCCTGTGAGTTGAATAAACTATTTCAGCTGGCACATTCAAATGCCCTAACCAGCTCTTTAGCAAGTTACTTAAGTAGCATAGCATGTGACTAACCCCTGGCACTTCACATTTTGGTTGTTACCACCAAATGGAGCTTGAACTCCAGTGAAGATGTGGCCAGTAAAACCAGCTCTTCCATGCAGCACCTGAAACCCCATGAGAGCATCTTATATTTCACAGACATGACGGGAACTGAGATGCTGGGAGCAACACTACAGGACCAGTCACCCCCACACCTGACAGCATCTTGGAGCTGGTGAGGAGGGCTTGGAAGGCTCTCCTGCAACTGCACGGAATGGTGGGTTAGCCAACTGCTGTGGCTGCATACAAAGCCATGCCAAAAAGTGATTAATTTTCAGACTGCTCATCTCCCTGACCTGGCTCCCTGCAGGAGCACCAAGGCCAGCATAGGCAGCCCTGATCTAGAGAGATTTAAGAAGCTGTGGCTTTTGCCATCATGATTGCTATGGTGTAAATTTGGAAGTCTGCTCTCTCCTGCTGGCTCAGTCCTGCATAGTTGAAGAAGTTGAGCAGATTCACTGTTGGGTTAGGTAGTCTACATAGGAAGGCAAAAAACACTTCTGCCTCACTCCTCATCTCAGCGTGTCTCTGCTTTCTTGCTCTAAAACACTGCATTAGCTTGCAAAGTCAAAGTTAAACCCCTCAGGTTTATCGTTTGAATATGAGCCTCTGCAGGTCAGTGTCTGTGGAAATTTTCATTTCCTTCACACCTATCCTTCTTACCTTGTCCTAATAGGAGACGTGATTAAAGACACCAATATTATCATGCTCATCTTACGTGATAGATGGCTTTTACATCAGCTATGCAAAAATCAGGGGAAAATGCAGGTCAGTGTGTTTTACTGAAAAAGCAAGGTATGAAAAAATGAGCCAAGTTTCCTCTTTTTCACTGAACATCCAATAAAACAGGGTTTCTTGGATTAGAATGTGTGGTTTGATACCTGTTTCTCAGCAGGAGGGAGTTAAAAAAATGAAGCCCCTGAACACCAATGGTGGGTATAAATTTGCCTTTGCTTAATGTTACTATTATTTTCCAGTCACATTTTTAACTTCTGAACACTTTCGGTATAGGATTTCCACCAGAAATTCTTGCCCCAGCATGGCTATATCCATGCTTCACTCAACACAGATGCTCACATAGAGATAATCTGATGTTTTAAATGCATATGGTGCTGTAGTAAAAGCACATCTGAATGATCTTAAGACAGCTATTTATCCAAAGCTTAAATATTTCAGAAAAATTGTAAGTTACATTTTGGTTTAGTTTTTAATGTTCAATAGGCAGATTCTGCTGCCAGTGAGTTGTGCATGAATCCTGAATTGACGTCTCTCATCGTGCTGCTTTGATTTCACTGATTTGCATGAACATGGTGTTTGTGTACACAATGAGAAGGGTGTCAAACCACTTTTATTTATGCTAAATTTATACTGGTCTCACTAATGCCATGCTGTGGCTCTCTGGGATGTCTGAGAGTTGGTCATGCTGTGGGTTCCCTCTGAAGGACCTCAGTGTCCCACCACAGGTTCTTCCAGGGCTGGGAAGGGGCAATCGGTCTTCTTAGATCCCAGCCCAAACTGTAAGGACTACCACAGACTCTCCTCTTTGTTCTTTTTGGGCTGCAATTTGGCGTATGAAGCATAACAAAAAGTGAAAGCTTGGAAGAATGTAAAGTTTCTCAAAGTTTCTCAAAACTTCCTTCAAAGTCAAGCTCAGTGTGAGACATTCATAGAAAGCATTTTGAGTAAGTAAAGCATGAGCAGTTATGTGCTAAAATAGCCCTTCTCCAGATAACCACAACAATGAAATAACTGCCATAGCTGTCATGTCTCAAAGAGATCCAGCAGGAAAAGCATGAAAATGCAGAGCTCCTGGTGACAATCCCTGGTCAGGGCTGAGGGTACTGGGGAAATGGTGAGGAGTGTGAAGGGACTTGCCAAGGTGTTGTCTTCATCAGACTGGTTTCTAGATAAAAAGAAAGCCTGTCAGCTCACTGCTATTCAGAAATGCAAAAAGGAAAACCACAAACACAGGCACCAAGCAGCAAAGCAGTGAGAAAGAAAGCTCATTTCTGCTTTATCCAAATACAGCTAGTTGTTGCTTGAGCCCAAAGGGATGGCAGGAATGTCCCCGACAATGGGATCTCAACTCTTAAATTCAGATTACTCCTGCATAAATCCCATGGAGCAGAGGACATTCCTGCACGGTGCTGGGAAAGCTGGTTTGCTTGCTCAGCCACCAAAGTGCCTGGCATAGTTCCTGAGCACACCCTGGTCTGGCAACATGACTTTGCACATGCTGAGGCTCAGCTCTGAACCCAGCATGTTGTGCTGTGCCATGTTGGGCTCCCTGACCCAGCATGGAGATGACAAGAAAATCCACCTGCTCTTAGGAGACAGAAATGAAGCTACAAGTCCAGAAAGATTTAAGGGCTTGAGCAGGGGGGATAAAGCCTTTTTAAGTGCTGTATGATCAGAATAGACAGAAGAAGTGCTAATAAAAGGTCAGATACAGGCAGATTTAGAGGCACTGGGAAAAGATGTACCTATTTGACTGGGTGCCAGGGAGAGCCCTGCAACAATGGGGTTTGAGGGAACACTCCAGGCTTAGACTCTCATGCTTAAGGCTTTCAGCCCTGCTTTAGGCAAGGGTGGGAGGCTGGGCCACAGGCTTTCCGGAGGTCCCTTCCAATCTGAGTCCACTGACATGCTCTAAATGTGCTGGAAAACTCCCTGAAGTTTCTTGAGAAACTGTTGGATGAGAAATACACCATCATCATAATATATACTTACCATGTCTTCTGGTAAGTGCCCTGTTCTGAGATTGAAAATATCTCATTTCAGTTGCTCGCACTGCCTCAGACTTTCTGGATGATGCTGAAAATAAACCCAAAATATCAGAGCAGTCAAACTAAACTTCCCATTAACACAGCATTCTTTTTCTTGGCAGGAGCTAACTCAGGTCCTGGGTAAATTGTTTAACCAGTAATCCCTGTGTTGTGCTTTTGGTGCCCACATGTTCAAGGATGAGAGTAATCACTTCTTCCTTGTACTGTGTGCCTGTCTCTGGTTTTGCTCCGTGCTTGTACAGCACCCAGCACAACAAGTCCCAAGTCTCAATAAGTTCTTGTTGAATCCAGCTGTAAACTCCTCTCTCTGTTGAGTGGCCATGGCCATGGCCATGAAAATGCTGCTTTCTGGAACTTAATCTATCACAATTTGTCACTGAGGGACAAACCCTGGAAGATAATTTCAAGTAACATTTTATCTTTTTTTTCTAATGAGTTTAAGAGATATTTTCACTCCCTTTTGCTTTTGAAGATGGTTTTCTGAAAAGATGAGAGCTAGCACACAAGTCAGTCAGCAGTTTCCCTTTTGAAGGTTCATAATATAAATCACACCCTCCTGTTTGAGCTTCATATCTCTGCCATGGCCTGATAGAGCGAGGATGGGTAAAGGATGGTTGCCGCTACCCTCTGTGAGAGGAGATAATTAATCTTCCAGCACAGCTCAACTGCCCTCATTCAAACCCCCTCATGCAGGGGTGCCTGTGCCAGGCGAAGCTGCAAAACTCTTCTTCCACCAGACACAGTGCAGAGCCAGGGGTGAGTTTGCTCTGATTTAGGGAATACAAAAGTTTTGCTTAGGTTTTGTGCCAAACCTTAAACCCACCACTTGAGCTGTCATTGATACTATTGCAGGAGGGAGTCAGAGGCATCAAGCAGTAAATTCAAGAGAATTAAGACCATCTGCTGCCCAGGACTGCCAGCCCACAGCTCCCTGCAGTCAGTTGAGACAAGCAGTTACAATACCCAAGTTACATTCACTCAAAAGCCACATAAACCCAGTCAGTAACGATCTGTCCCTCTTGCACTCAGCAGTAGGTAAAAGCCAGTCAAAGCAACAGTTTTGCTAGAAATTCTAGAAGTTCTTTACAGAGAATAGTCACATATATGTATATAACTGAATACACACATAGACACATAAACATCTCCTGGTTAGATCTGAGTTCTCGCATCAGTTGAGTACCTGTCTTAAAGAGTCTTCCATGCCAATGCCAAGGGAGTTGGAACTAGATAATCTTAAGGTCCTTTCCAACCCTAACCATTATGATTCTATGTAAGTGGACATCCGCGTGAGTCTAGTTTTAATAGCCCTGTAAATTATTCTCTGGAGTTAGTCTCTGGGATTCCAAATGCAAACAAAATGCAACCAGAGACAGTGATAACACAGTTCATTACAAAGGGATGGGAAAGAGGCTTTCTTTTTAGCCACTCCAGATCATTATTTCTCCTCTAGAAGCAGGCACCATCAAGGGGACAGTAAGACCGTTTACCTCTGGATTGCATGAGGCTGAAAGACAAATGTCATAGAATCATAGAATCATAGAATAGTTAGGGTTGGAAAGGACCTTAAGATCATCAAGTTCCAACCCCCCTGCCATGGGCAGGGACACCTCACACTAAACCATATCACCCAAGGCCTCGTCCAACCTGGTCTTGAACACTGCCAGGGATGGAGCATTCACAGCCTCCCTGGGCAACCTATTCTAGTGCCTCACCACCCTAACAGGAAAGAATTTCCTCCTTATATTCAATCTAAACTTCCCCTATTTAAGTTTTAACCCATCACCCCTTGTCCTATCACTACAGTCCCTAATGAAGAGTCCCTCCCCAGCATCCCTATAGGCCCCCTTCAGATACTGGAAGGCTGCTATGAGGTCCTAAGGTCCTTTCAATCACTTTCTAAATGTTTCTAAGCTGAAAGCACTCCCATCTCAGCAGCAGTTTTCTTCAGAAGCTAGCTAGTGCTGTGAGTGCCTTTTGCCAATAGCAGCTATAATTACATTAAATGGTTGATTTGCAGAAGGAGGAGAACGACACGTGCAGAGCAATGTTATACAACACCGCAAAGAGTTTGCACACTTCTGTCACTCCAGAAAACCACTTACAATGACACTCACATACTCCTATTTTCTCTCTGTATTTTGGAGATAAGCCTGTTTTGAATTCTTCTGTGGGATTATCTGACGCCTGCACACAGCTTGATTCATTGCAGCCATTAGAGAGGAGCTGGATGACCCCCAAAACAATTCCTTGCTATGAATAGCCATTGTGATCCCATAGACACAATGGCACAAGATGTCATGCATCCTTTCCTGAGCTTCACAGAGGGATGCTCACATACAAGAACAAAACAAAAAAATGTTTCTCCTGGAAACATATTGGTGTTTGTGTAAGTGCTTTCTACCACCAAATGCTGTCTTTTCTCCCCAGGTCTGAGCTGTAATTAGATTTCTACCTTTAAATCTGAGTGCACTTTGTAGGCTTAATAAAGCAACCAGCAGCAATAATGGCAGTAATTACAAATGTGTTCAGTGTTCAGAACTCAAGGAAAATACACTAAAGATTAAAAAGGCCATCACTCATGATTTATTTTTGAAACCACACAGGCAGAAATGGGCAAATTTGCATGTCTATAAATATCATAAGCACATTATTTAGGGCATGTGTGTGCTGAGCATTCTTCTGGAAGACTCTGGGCAGCATTAAAGCATGAGAGCGCAAGCAATCTGGGAAATATCAAAATATTATAATCTGCTACAGAGACACACAGCTTTTCTTTATGGCTTGCAAAACTATGCTCAAGATTCCAGATGCACTCCACTGTAGGACTGACAGTTTATCACAAATGGAGACTGCACAGGGAAGTATTGCTAAACCAGTTGGCAATGGATCAGCGAAACGCCTCAGGGAACAGTTTGTAATAACCAGTTATCCCACATGTACTGTCAGTGTCCAAAACACATGCAGAATGGATGGGCACAAGACATTTGTAGGGATCTCGGCTGTCATGAGGAGTTTCTCAGTTCCTTAGGAGAAATTCTGCTGGAATTTGGCAATATCCTGAACACAAACTGCTCCAAATAAGCCATCAGGAGACCTGAAGTACTCTGTTTTCCCATCTGCCCTCCAAAGGGCGGAAGAACAAACTGTGTCTAAACAATAAATTACAATAACTTATCCTCTTATTTTGCTATTTTTCATTTGCCAGTAACCATGAAGCATTTCTCCCAATAACTCCTCTCAGTCACTACTAAACCGGGCCTGTAACAAAACTGAGAGATTGCCCACTTTTGAAGCCTGGGAAATGAAGAATGACAAGGTAGAATTTCTCTCAAGCTTTAAATTAATCCCAAGCATCTCCTTTCTCCAGCCATCATACAATGTGGGTCCAAGATGTGCACCTGAGAAGCATTTGACTCCAGGTTGCTTGGTCTCAGCACATGCAATGTGGAAGAAGCCTGTTCTGGGACCTTCACTGCTCTTTGCTCCATTAGCTCTTTTGGGACTTTCCCATTTGTTCTCTGGCCTTCGGACTCTCAGGAGTAAGGGGTGGTATATTGTTTCTGGTGCCAACTCTACCACCATAATTGAGCTCTCACATCTCTGCTGGCTGGGAAAACAAGGTTCTAAGCTGAAAACATGGCAATGGTGTTGGTGGCTGATGCCATTAAGACAAGACCTTTTTCTGCAGAACCAATCGGGAGTCTACATGGGCCTCCCCACCCTGGATACATCAAAATTAAGTGTTTCCAACCTCAAGCTGTACACCAGTGTGCTTCTCCAATTCTGTTATCAGCTTAGGTAGGTATTGGTGGCAGTGGTAAGAGAAGTGGCCCTCATGACACACAGCGATTTCACACAGTTGAGAATGGGAGCACAAAGAGCTACTGAAAACACAACCATTTCTGGCTCTGCTCTGATGCTGGAAATGCTTCGCTCAAGCTGGCAGGCATAGACTGCCTACATTTCAGCTGGGGAACCAGGACCACAGTCCTTAAATCCCCATTTTTTTAAATTATCTGCATCAACAAAGCAACGACTTTTAGAAAACACAGTGCCTGTCAGTTCATGTTTATGTATGTAGGATCCAGTGTGTGTGGATGAAGATATAAATATGTGCCCAAGCTTATGCAAGCTTTCTAGCAGGACAGCGACAGCTCAGATGTACTCTACCCACTCACTGGTGGCTTCTGAATCTCATTTTCTAAATATACCCTGCCCAGTTCCCAGAGGGAACACAGCGTTTGGCACCTCCTGGGGGGAAACACAGATGTTTGGCTCCCAGCCCCTGGAATTTCTTGAACTTCTGTGGACCAAAGGAGAAAGGCCAGAGGTCGAGCAGCACTATTTATTCTGCCCTGTTTCCTACTAATTGTTCAAAACTGCCCAGCAGATAAAGCATAGGCACTTTTTGTCAGCAAGACCTGGGGAGGCTGCCAGCATGGATCAATGAATTCCAGTCATTCCTCCAGGCTGCTGGGGGCTGCCCCACTGGGGAAAGCCGGCCCCACCAGCCCCCAGCCTACTGAAGAAGGGCCTGCCCCAGACAGACCACCTCGTCCTCACGGCACTGGCTGTTTGTTTGCTGTCTCTCAGCAGGGAAGAAATCCTGAGGCTCAAGGAGGTGTCTCGCCCCTGGGAAGCCAGAGACCCTGGAGAGACAGCCCTGGTGAGGGTGCCCAAAGCACTTCTTGCTTTTCAAACAGGACCACAAAGGAAAGAGGGAGAGAGAAGATGAGACACTTGGGCTTTAAATATTTGCATTTTCATGTCCTTAAGCTTTAATTTATTTAATTAAAGAAGGTGATGAGGCACTGGCACAGGTTGCCCAGAGAAGCTGTGGCTGCCCCATCCCTGGCAGTGTTCAAGGCCAGGCTGGGTGGGTCTTGGAGCAATCTGGTCTAATGGAAATTGTCCTTGCCCACAGTAGGGGGTTGAAACTAGATGATCTTTAGGCTCCTTGCCAACCCAAACCATTCTATGATTCCATGAATTTCAAAGAAAAGCATCTGGAACACACCCACAAAGTAAGAGGTATTTGCTCAAAAGTTAGATCCTCAGGATCAAGGTAGCAAACAACTGCAGCCCTAAGAAAAGAGCTGGAATCAGCACAGTCCCTTCTTGTGGCACTCTCCTAAAACTGGGTGGCTGCTCCCACGAGGGCATGGGCTGTCCCAGGTACTT